AAGTGGAGGAAGATGGGCACAGATGTTAGCCCAGGGCCAGTCTTCCTCAGTAAAAAGGAGGATTGGCGTGAATGTTAGCTCAGGGCTGATCTTCCTCACACACACAAAAATATATGTATATATAAAGCGCTGTTCACATGTAAGTTTATTTTGGTTTGATACTGGTGCTACACTTTTTAGGTAAGCTTGGCAGGTGAGTGTCCTAACCTGTCCAAGGACACTGCTAATAAATGCCGGATCTGGGCCTTGAATTTAGGCCAGTCTGACTCTGAAGTTCATGCTCTCATTCAGTTATTCTGGAAAGTTCTTCAACACCACCAAGTAATTCTCCAATCATAGCGGATACCACTTGGGTGTCCTACAAATTTGACTCAGTTCTGACACTGCCTGGAGATAGTGTAAGACCCCACAGGCTAAGGGCTCCGTCCCACAAGATTGCCTCCACTTCAGATGCCAGTCACAGGTCTGGGTTGTCACCTGTGCTTCCAGCTGACCCTGATCCCCTCCTTGGGTTCAGTGGTTTGTTAGAATGGCTCACAAAGCTCAGGGGACCATTTACTTACGTTTACCAGTTTATTATAAAGGATATAGATGAGGTACGTAGGGTGAGATCTAGAAGGGCCGTAAGCACAGGAGCTTCTGTCCCAGTGGAGTTGGGGTGTGCCACCTTCCCCACACGTGGATGCATCCACCAATGCAGAAGCTCTCAGGACCCTGTCACTTAGGATTTTTATGAATCCTTCATATTTTATGAAGCCAATTTTATGAAGGCTTCATTACATCGGCACGATTGATTAAATCATTGGCCATTGGTGGAGGTCGGTGGGTGGGGCTGTAGGGTCCAGCCCTCTAATCACATGGTTGTTTCCCTTGGCAACCAGTCCCTATCCTGAGTTATCCAGGAGCTTTCCAAAAATCACCTCATTGACATAACTAAACATGGTTGAAAGGGACTTGTTTGAATAACAAAAAACACCTCTATCAATCTTATCACCTAAGAAATTCCAAGGGTTTAGGAGCTTTGTGTTTGGGACTTTGGACTAAGACCAAACATGTATTTCTTACTATATCGCAATTAATGTCACCACTTTTGAAAACTGAAGGAATTGGACTAGAATGATCCAAAGATCTGTTTTAGCTCGGACATGCAAAGGTCTGAGTCTGGCTTTCTGAGGTTGGGAAATTTGAGGAGATTGTCTAATTTCGGCCAGGTCTTTACCTTTTAGTGCTTTGGTTTGTTCATGCAGAAAATGGAATGTTTATACGTGTCCCTTTGCTTATATCAGAGTTCATGATGGTAGCAAAGTATTGTGAGCCCTTGAAAAAGTCATTGAAGAGGATGCACGAGACTTAAACTTACCTTCTCACAATCGTCAGGTTTTAATAGACCAGGAGTAGTTGATGTCATAGGTAACGTGTGAGATATGGGTGAGCTCTCGAGGTGCTAGCTTGTGTCTGTACTTTTTTCAAGCTGAACTCAGATTCACCGCACAACTGAGTCATCCCACTGGTGTGAGCCCTCGTGTGTTGACTTTCAAGGGCTGTGCCTCTCCTGCCCCTCCCCATCATTCTTGGGGTGAGGAGGAGGGCATGAGAAAGGAGATAATAGAGATTAAGATACCCAAGGGAATAATCTTAATATTGGGGCCAAATTAATGGACTTGCAGTGTGTTTCTTGTGCTGTGTAAAATCAACAACCGTTAGTTTATAGGCCGGCCCCGTGGCTTAGCGGTTAAGTGCGCGTGCTCCGCTGCTGGTGGCCCGGGTTCGGATCCTGGTCGCGCACCCACGCACCGCTTCTCCCGCCACGCTGAGGCCGCGTCCCACATACAGCAACTAGAAGGATGTGCAGCTATGACATACAACTATCTACTGGGGCTTTG